AGTTTAATCGACTACCCATTAACGGCGGAATGTATACTTCCCTATAAGCGCTGAGAGCTAAATGTACGAGATGCAAACGTTTGTCCGGCCGTGCGATATAACACACGGACGTGCAGCATTATCCTTTATTTCCCGAGACAAATGGTCTCTAATATATCCGCGTGCTCCACCGCATTAATTCGCGCACGTTTTTACTTTTTTTTTTTACATTCGCAATATACGTTCCTACAAATCTAGAAATAAATTCATTCACGGACCAACAAAAAGCATTGGTAAATACTTACGCAATTAAATTGGAGCTGTTTCTGCTGTAGAATATTCGGGTAATTTAACTTAGCGGCGAGAGTTTGGAGACAGGCGAGAATTTCGTAGATTTCGCTTGCTTGGCTAGCTCTGATCTACAGTCTGCTAGTTATTTCTATTTCTATTTTATTTGAGACAAGCGTACAGAAGTGGGTTTCTCTACTGCACGTAATAAATAGTCGAGGAGGAGTCCTCTTTCACAGCGAAAACGCTTAGAGAGACCTTCCTTCGAATGGTCCCGAAATTCGACGACCTGAACTGACCCAGATAACGACGTCGGTAAACACGTGTATTTACCCATGTATATAGTATACGTAGTCATGTACAGGATGTTTATAGAGTTCCTATTTATTTTGTTAGAATCAGGTCGTTTCGCTGCCACAGGTCTGAGAAATCTGCTAAGTAATATCAGATGCTAAATATTTCCGCGCTATCAGACGCTATTGAGTATCGAGGTGGTTGAATTTCAATGAAACGTGAATTAGTGCAGGAGATAGACATACCGAAATGCGAATTACTTCGGAAATAGGATCCGACTGGATACATGCTACATTAAGGCACACGCGACTGTCTGTTGAAGCTTATCAATGCTAGACATAGGTATTAGGCATACGGGACATGTGATAAAATCGTCAAATCCTATGCGTTCTTGCCAATGCTTATGATAATTAAAAATTATCTAGATAAAAATAAGATAAATTACATGTAATCACGTCTTAAATATGATACTTTCATTTTGAATTTATCTAGGTAAAGGATGAAATTATAAAACATTTTATCTAGATAATTTTAAGATAATTATTGCTTTTAAGTAAAACAATTTAGAATATATATACATATAAGAAACAATATATTCATATTTTTATTTTTATATATAAAGCTGTATTTCTTAAAAAAAAGATTAGAAATTTTAAAATATATTCTATCTGAAAAACGATTTCTGTATGGTACATATATCTATTATACAGACGCTCCAATATTAAAATATATTATAATTGAAAAAAATCTGCTTGACGTATGGAGATAAAAAGTAAAAATCTAATTAGATTTAGATTTAAATTTTAAACATAATAGTATTCAATCAATATTGATAGTACCTTTTTTGTTCAAATAATAGATGGAAAAAGGCAATAAGTGATATTGGCTGCTATGCATCAATTAGTTCATGCTCAAAATTAAAAATTCTGGACGGCACTGATCTAACAACATTGCATAAATATTTGTATTATAAAAAAGGAGATATTTTAAAATCTTGCATTAGGGAGTGCATACTAAACTCGCTGTATATTAAAATAATTTGAAAAAGATAATATTTTTTTATCCAAGGTAAAAGTGGAGATAATACGTATTCTATAAATAATCTAAATAAAGATAAAATGAAGTCGTTTTTTCATATAGATAATTCCCACTAAACAAAAAACGTTTTAGTAACGTTTTGAAACGTGTCAGTAACGTTACAACGTTGCTGCAATGTTACTGAAATGTTTTGGAACGTTTCTTGTTTACTGGGTTATCCAGTTACTTTTATTACATAGATAACAGCAAACACTGCCGCTTACATCTGTCAAACTTCATTTACTATCGCGCTATTAGTAATTATAATACTTTGTTCCGATGCTGCGTACAAAGCATATTATATTAATATAGATTATAGGTAGTCTAAGCAAAAGCAGCTATATTCAAAAATATTAAAACATATTATTATATATATTGAAAATCCTGGATTTCTTAACTCGTTACGTACGAATTGAATTTCAAAAATGTGCTAAAATAGTTCTAAACCCTATACAATTAAAGAAATCAAATCCTTAAATCCGTACTGTTGCAAAAGCAGTATATCCATCATATTGAATAAAAATGAATATTTTGTTCCAAAATCAGCTAAAATTCTGCATCTAGCTGTAAAATTAGTTAAGTATATTCTATATTAATAAACAAAAATTGTATGTATTTCTCATGCCATATTATATATTTTAACTATAAACATGAATTTTTCTTAATTAAAAAAAAGATCTAGTTGATAACTCAAATAAGGAAAATTATACAAGTCTTTTTGCTGTCGCCAAAATATTTTAAATGAAGATAACGACTTTGCCATTGTCAATAAATTATTCATATAGGGTGACATAGAAAAGTCACTAAAACTAAATAACTGTTATTAGGTGTTGAACTTAATTCCTGCCGTTTTTCGTCTCCAAAATTGATTTGTTTCGAAGGGAAGATGAATGAATACCTTAATCAAAGTAATTTCTTCCATTTTCTACTTTATTACTAATTAATAATACTTTATTAATAATACTTTGATTAAGGTATTTCCCTTCGAAACAAATCAATTTTGGAGACGAAAAACGGCAAGAATTAAGTTCAATACCTAATATTTTGTAATGAATGAGCAAAGAATGAAATAAATTAAATAATGTAAAAAAACTCATTATTTTTATTGGTATAAAAAGAATATACATTTATAATGTAAATGCAAATATATAAAGAACCAATAACGCCAGCTGGTTACTAATGATCATTTGAACTTGCATAATGAAGGATGAGAGGCCTTTGAAACCTATTAAATGTACTTTGTAACAGTAATAATTATAATTGTGTCTCTATAGAATTTCAAGTAAATATCTTTTACGGATGACTATCTGGATCGAGACCTTAAGGCGATGCTAAAGTCTTCTGTTTTATCACATTTCCATTCGGTGAAAAATCTCTGTATTGAATGTACGAATTGCAAAAGTATTATTGCTTAAATTTAAATTAAAGTACGCACAATCAGGACCTCAGCTGCTGGATTTCATGAAAAAATCGAAAAAAAGTTTCAGATTCATTAAAAATTCACTTACTTTTGGCTCGTACAGCTGTCACCTCAGATATATATTTGCTTGATATTAAGAGTTTTAGAGTCCATATCTTGAAAATCAGCGTGCAGCTGAGGTCACATTATTGAAATAAACGATACCGAGTTTATAGAACTAAGATTGAAAGTCTAGAAAAGAAATATTTCCACCGAATAGAAAATACGTGTATACAGGTGCTTTGCGAAGACTGGGACTGTCAACAGAGCCGAAATTCCATGTAGCAGTAGTTGCGCGGTCTTGCGATAGATGGTGCTGGCATATGTTAGATAAGAACAGACGTATGCGTTTGAGTAAGACAGAATGATATACCATATATTATAATTTATATAATATAATGTAAAAACTAAATCAAAGATGTCACCACTATTATCGAATTTGGAATTTAAAAAGTCTGTACTATCGACCTTGATTGAGTTGGGTAATCGATTTAGCATCTCCTTAATCATTGGCAATCAGTCAATTAAAAAATTTCTTTTTAACATTTATTTTTATAAATTGATAAATGTATATTCTTTTTAGTACAAATGCTAATAAAATAACAATTTTCTCTGTGTGTGTGTGTGTGTGTGTGTGTGTGTGTGTGTGTGTGTGTGTGTGTGTGTGTGTGTGTGTGTGTGTGTGTGTGTGTGTGTGTGTGTGTGTGTGTGTGTGTGTGTGTGTGTGTGTAGAGAATAGCGTTTAATTAATTTTACTCTATCCATTTTTTAAATTACAAAATAAGCTATTTAATTTCACGATTGTCTTCTTGTATATTTTCGAATCTGTGATGGCTCTCTCTCTCTCTCTCTCTCTCTCGCACGCACGCACGCACGCACGCACGCACATCGTGGTTAAACCACAGACTTTTATATAGTATACTACTAGACTGCTAACTCGTTTGAAAAAGTGGACCCCAATTTCGATTGTGCATTATACGCATGCGTCGAGAACCGCACCGCGTGACCCGTGCG